AGATTGTCTGTCCCTGCATGGACAGATTAGCAGAGAGTGTAATGGTTCCAGAGAAACATACAAAATCTAAGCAGGGAGGTGGGACAGAGTCACAGAAATGTTCAGATCTGACTTGCTCTCATGGCCTGTTGCCAGTAATGTTCCAATATTTCTCGTCCTTTTTGCTTCCTCATGGCAGTGCGTCCCAGGCTACCAGGGTGTCAACTGTGAGTATGAAGTGGATGAGTGCCAGAATCAGCCCTGCCAGAATGGAGGCACCTGTATTGACCTTGTGAACCATTTCAAGTGCTCCTGCCCACCAGGCAGTCGGGGTATGAAATCATCCTTATCCATTTTCCATCCAGGGCACTGTCTAATTTATAAATCCATTCCTAGTAGTCAGGGGATTTTATAAAATTAAAGATATTAAGACTAGCTTCATTCCAAGCTTTTAGTTCTGCATCCTAGTAATGCAAGCCATTTTATTATTTCGTCTCCTGCTAGCTCTGATGTTGTGATTTATATTCAAGGTTTCATCTTGTTGTTTGGCATCTTATATTCCACGAAACACAGAAAAAGGAACTGATAGAACATTATAACAAAATTAGCCTGGTCAGTAAGATTTCTTGTTGCTTCAAGGAAAAGCAACTAATGGCCTCTAAAATAAACAATTTACATTTACCTGCTTTTGTATTTTTTAAATTAGCCAATTCTTGACTCTATAAGGTGGGGGAATGAATGAAATGAAAATATCTGCTATTATTTTCATAACCTCAGGTGAGGATACTGATGGCATAAGATTCTGCTTTAGGAATTGCAGTAAGGCCTGATGAGAGATGCAACCCTAGACTGCGAGTGATGGGGCCATCATTTGCTGTGGGCATTACCACTGCTTTTGAACTAAGTGGTAGGGCCATCATTCTGCTGTGAACATTGACACTGCTTTTGAACCATCCCTTGGAAAGAGATTAGAGTATTGTTTGTCAGAAGGGATCTAGTTGTGCTGGGGCCTACTCTGAGAAACCCGTGAAAATGTAAAAGGCTATCCACACTGGTGAGAAATTCATTCTTGTTAGTGTCAAAGAGAATAGAATGCCAGAAAAGTATAAGTATTTGTATTGCCTTAGAGCTTTGTGTCAATAAATTTGGCTCATGTGCCTTCCCAGATATCAGAGTTTGATTAAATTAAAATAGGAGAGTACACTACTAGTAGACTGGTTATTGAGGAATGAGGTTAATGGGAAGAAGAAAACGAAGGAGAAACAGTCTTTAAGTATTTGAAGAATTGTCATGCTAAAAGGAGAATTGTTCTTTATTCTAGAAATCAATGGTTGAGTAAAAATTCATTCCAAATCATTACTAATTTGTTCCTTTGAACAATTATACTGGTTACAACAAGCTCCAGTTCTGGTGATCGCTGTTATCATAGTTCATTTCTGTTGCTATAAAAGAATACATGAGACCAAGTAATTTGTTTTTCAAAAGAGGTATATTTAGCTGTACAGGAAGCATGGTGCCAGCATCTACCTCTGGAGTGAGCTTCAGGCTGTTTCCACTCATGGTGAAAAGTGAAGAGGAGCCAGTGTGTGCAGAGATCACATGGCAAGAGATGAAACAAGTGAGAGGGGAGGAGATCCCAGGCTCTTTTTAACAACCAGCTCTCATGGGAACTAACAGAGTGAGAATGCTCTCATTGTCTCAAGGACGCAAACAGGTCCCATTAGGCCCCACCTCCAACATTGGAGATCAGATTTTAGCATGTGCTTCAGTGGAGTCAAACTCCAAGATATAGAAGCTAATTAAACCTCAAATCTCAGAGCTTAATATAACAATGACTTTGTCACTCAAGTAAAGTTGAATATGTGTTGAGCTACCTTTCTCTGTGTTTTAGGTTTGTGGTTTAAAAGGGTCATACAGCAGCTTTCACTATCTCAGTCTGGAAGCAACACACATCCCTGTCCCTCACAGTATATTGACCAGAATTATTAAATGGTCTCCCTGACTTCAAGGGAGGCTAGGAAAAATGGAAGAGTACATGGGTATTCATCAAACTCTAAAATCATTGCTATACCATGAACTTTTTATTGATTAGACATGTCCAGTCCCAGAGTGGATCATTTCAGAAGGAAACAATTTTTGTCGCTTCTAACCACGTGTTGAAGATAGCTTAGAATACTTGTTTCGATATTATC